CTCTATTGTATGTTTAGTGTGTAGAGTTAGTAAATTATACTGATTCTATTGTATGTAGGTGTGTAGAGTTAGTAGATACTACTACTCTATTCTATGTAGAGTGTGTACAGTTAGTAGATACTACTGACTCTATTGTATGTAGAGTGTGTAGAGTTAGTAGATACTACTGACTATTGTATGTAGAGTGTGTAGAGTTAGTAGATACTACTGACTCTATTCTATGTAGAGTGTGTAGAGTTAGTAGATACTACTGACTCTATTGTATGTAGAGTGTGTAGAGTTAGTAGATGCTACTGACTCTATTGTATGTAGGTGTGTAGAGTTAGTAGATACTACTGATTCTATTGTATGTAGGTGTGTAGAGTTAGTAGATACTACTGACTCTATTGTATGTAGAGTGTGTAGAGTTAGTAGATTCTACTGATTCTATTGTATGTAGGTGTGTAGAGTTAGTAGATACTACTGACTCTATTCTATGTAGAGTGTGTACAGTTAGTAGATACTACTGACTCTATTGTATGTAGAGTGTGTAGAGTTAGTAGATACTACTGACTCTATTGTATGTAGAGTGTGTAGAGTTAGTAGATACTACTACTCTATTGTATGTAGAGTGTGTAAAGTTAGTAGACACTACTGACTCTATTGTATGTAGAGTGTGTAGATTCAGAATAAAGGTTTTTGGGTTAGATCGCGTTATTTATAAATGTGTCATAACCCTCCACCACCCGACACAGCCAAACAGCAAAAAAATGTCACGTTGACCAAAGACAATTAGTTCACTACTTTAGCCCACTGGTGTGTTGAAGAGTGAATCCACAACATTTACAGTTTGAATACGACGTTTCGCTGGTAATTACATCCAGCATCATCGGGCAATTCGCCAGAATGGTAAAGCCCTCACTTGCTCTCGGTCTTAAATAGAGCAGCAGGGTGACGTCATCATTTAACTCATTTCAGGTGCAGTGATTTGAGGCGGAGGGGGGGTATTGTAATTATATAATCGATTGGTAATCAGTCAATGGTTATGATTAATAATGAGTTGTAGATTAGTAATTAGTTGTAATGTGTGTTATTGTGATTATACTACATTAGTAATCCGTTAATTAATATGCGTTTCCCCTATCAGGAATTGTAATATGTATTATTTAATAATACGCTTCCAAGCCGCACTAAGCCTATAGCTATCAGAACGATTAAAGTTATTTCTGTTTCTCTCCATTTCAATGGATTCTCTAATTAGCCTTTGCCAGTAATAATTAGTTTTACACAACACTTCAACGTTATCAAAATCAATTGAGTGTCCTTGTTGACAAGCATGTTCTGCCACTGCCGACAGTTGTGTTTGAGATAATTTAATATTTCTTTGGTGTTCTTTTAGTCTTATGCTGATGTTACGTCCCGTCTGTCCAATATAGCATCTGCCACATAAACAATTAATCCGATATACACCTTCTGTTGACAATTTAGGTAATTCGTCTTTAGCGCAAGATACTAGTTTTTGAATGTTGTGTACTGTACCAAATCTTACTGTAATGTTTTTCTTTTGCAAAACACGGGCTAATTTGTCAGTTACTCCTGAGATATATGGAATTTTAATTGTTTTAAGAATCTGATCGCTTTCAGCAGTGTTGCTTGCGATCGTGATTTGGCATTCAGTGCTCTGTTAATTTGAGTATTATTGTAGCCATTCTGTCGTAATGCTTATTTAACGTGTTTGATCTCTCTCACTAGACTCTCACCATCTGACACTGTTTTAGCTCGATGTATGAGCGTCTTGATAAGAGAGGATTTCTGAGCTGGATGATGATGCGAATCTGCATTCAGATAGGCATCAGTGTGCGTTTGCTTTCTGTAAACGCTGTGTTATTTTACCATTTATGCCATGTCCAAGCAAAATATCTAGGAACGGGAGTGTGTTATTCACCTCCATTTCCATGGTGAACTGGATGGCCGAGTTTTGTTTATTGAGATGATTTAGAAAATCATTAAGTGTATCTTTACCATGTGGCCAGACAACCAAAGTGTCATCCACACATATAAACCAAAAAGATGGTTTTAATGTGCTCGAGGCAAGTGCTCTTATTTCAAAGTTTTCCATGTACAGATTTGCTATAGCAGGAGATAAAGGAGAGCCCATTGCTGCTCCTTCCTTTTGTTTAAAGAAATCCCCTCTCCATAAGAAGTAAGTGTTATTTAAACAATGGTCAGCAAGTTTCGGAATATCTTTTGGGAAACCTGTATTCTTTACTAGTGTATCAAGTAAGTTAAGCGATTCGTTCACTGAAACCTTAGTGAATAGAGAAATCACATCAAAACTTACCAGAATATCATTAGGATTAAGTTTGATATCTTTAATCACATTCACAAGATGTTCTGAATTTCTTATGAATGAAGATGTCCTACCGATGTAGGGCTGTATTTGTTTAGTTATATATTTTGCTAATTTATAAGTGGCAGAGCCAATTGTACTGACTATGGGTCGTAATGGGATGCCGATTTTATGAATCTTTGGTAGCCCATACAGTCTAGGTGGTTTTGAGGCCCTTAGCTTAATTTGGTGTTGCTCATTCTTAGGGATTAATGAATTTGCAATTATTGCAGTAGTCTTACGTCCTAAAGTGTTAGTTGGATCTCGTTTAATTTTAATGTAGGTACTTTCCTCTAGTAAATTTCTAATTTTATTATCATTATCGGCTCGTGACATCACTACAGTAGTGCGGCCATTATCAGCTGCCAGGATTTGGATATCTTTATTTACACGGAGCTCTTTTAAGGCTTTTGCTTCGTTGGAGCTAATATTTACTTTTGGAACTTTGCTATTCTCAATTATTTTGGCAACCTCGTGTCTAGTCATCTCTGCCTCATTATGTGGAAGGAGTCTTGCTGCTAATTCTACCTCAGCAATTATCTCATCCACCGGAATTGTGCGTGGGGTAACGGCAAAGTTAAGGCCTTTAGAAAGGACAGAGATCATGTCACTAGTTAAAACAGTGTTAGTCAAGTTCATTACGGTTTTGTTTTTAAATTGTTCGTTTTTAGTAGGGATTTGTTTATTATGAAGTCTCGAGTTAGTAGATACTTCTGACTCTATTGTATGTAGAGTGTGTAGAGTTAGTAGATACTACTGACTCTATTGTATGTAGAGTGTGTAGAGTTAGTAGATACTACTGACTCTATTGCATGTAGAGTGTGCGTGTTCACGGCTAACTGGGTGATGTTCATGTTTGTTTATGTGCGTAAATGTGACTATGAATGTGTGTGTCTATCTGTGTGTGTGTGTATATCTGTGTGTGCTAATATAATCATAAACGGCAGGTCTTGATCTACAGTACTGTATTTGTCGATGTGTGTGTGAATGTATTGTGCTCTTTGGACGCGAATGTGTGTGTGTGTGGTTGACAATTGCTTGTTAAGGCTATAGGGGGATCTTTGTCTTTGCTTGTCTTTGATGGGTAGTGGTAATCCAGAGGTCAGCGGCCCACGGCCCAACCCCAGTGGCGATTATCTGAACCGGTGCTGGTTCTCCCCTAGGTCGACTCAGCCTCAAATGAATACCCGGTGCGGTGTGTAAACATCGCCACTGGGGAGACAAAGGCGGCCGGGCGTGGTGCTGGCCACCCACCCCCTCGTGTGCCGTGCCGGCCTTAATAGGTACTCGCTAATATTTTCCCCAACAGCCTGTGTGGGCGATACGAGAGGTGATGTTATACGTGTGCCAAGCCGCGATTGTCTCGTTTAAACACCGTACGAGGTATTCATTTAAGGCCGAGTCGACCTAGGGGAGGCCCAAACCCCGGTTCATATATCACTTTCCATTGGTATTACCCGTGGCTGGGAATTTTACTCAGGTGGCTGGGTTTGTAACGCACTGCGCTAACCACTGCACCACCGCTCCCCTTTGTCTTTGTTACTCACAAAAGACCAAGATTCCCCGTGTAGCCTTAACAGACTACGTACGGTGCTGGGGTAAGAGCTGTCAGCGAGCACCTTTGAAGGCCGACACGGCAGACCAGGGGATGGGTGACCAGCACAAACCCCGGCCGCCTTTGTCTCCCCAGTGGCGATGTGTACACATCGAACCAGGTACTCATTCGAGGCTGAGTCGACCTAGGGGTGGACGAGCACCGGTTCAGATAATCGTCACTGGGGTTGGGGCCGCTAGCGGGAATCGAACTCAGGTCGCCGGGATTCCTAGCGTAGCGCTCTGACCGCTACACCCCCCCCTGCCCCCACATTGTTACAAAGACAACCACACAAACGTGCACCGACAGAACAACATCCACACACACACACAGACACACATGCACCCATTAACAACCACACACAACCACTCGAGCCACACGGCCACAAGAAGACAAAGACAACCCCCCCACACCCCCCCCCCCCCAGTGCAGTCTGCTGGAGGCTGCAGTAACCTCTTAGCGAGTCGCAGCAGCAGCAGCAGCAGAGAAAACGCCGATACGAGTCGGGTTCTGTGGGCGGGGGGGGGGGGTATGGCCAGTACCACGCCCGACCGCCTTTGTTTCCCAGTGCCGAGATGTTCGCACCGCAACAGGTACTGTACCAATTTCAGGCTGAGTTGCCCTAGAGGACGCCAAGGACCCCTTCGGATATCAATCGCCGCTGATGTTCGCCACCGTTCGTCCTCACCACTCACAAACGTACGGACATACACACACACAAATATTACACACACCCACAAATATTACACACACAAATATTACACACACACACACAAATATTACACACACACACAAATATTACACACACAAATATTACACACCCACAAATATTGCACACACACAAATATTACACACACACAAATATTACACACACACCCACAAATATTACACACACACCCACAAATATTACACACACAAATATTACACACACAAATATTACACACACACACACAAATATTACACACACAAATATTACACCCACACCCACAAATATTACACACACATTACACACACAAATATTACACACACACACGTGGACACGCACGCACACGTGCACACGGAGACACAACCACGCACACAACCACGCGCACAGAAACACGCGTACACGCAAAGACAAAGGTGCCCCGTGTAGCCGTAAGCACGCGTTGGGGCAAGGCACCTGTTAGCGAGCGCCTATCAATTCGGTGCGCGATGGCCAGCACCACACCCGCCCGCCTTTCCCTCCCCCGTGGCGATGTTTACACACCGCGCCAGGTACTCATTTGAGGCTGAGTCGACCTAGGGGAGGGCCCAGGACCGTTTCAGACAAATCGGCACGGGGGGTCGCCGGGATCGTAGAGCAAAAGCCCGCTAGCCACGACCCGACCGCTCCCCGCACACTCGCACTCACGCGCTCCGATAGCCCGCGCAGAGATCATTATCGGCGAGCAGAGAGGAGCACCTACAAGATAGGAGCGAGGAGAAACGCCTATTAGCTACACGCACACACTGACACACACTAGCACACACACGCACATCACACTGGCACACACACACACTGGCGCACACACGCACATCACACACACGCGCGCGCGCGCAGACACGCAGACAGACAAGGCGGCTAATAGAAAGTGCTTAGCTGAATGCTAAATCATATTGCGGCCAGCAAGTGTTAAGAAAGAGCTTTGTTCGGCCAGTGTGCCCACCAGTTAGCACGTGTAGACTGTAGGCTCTCAACAGTACACTGCAAGACGCGTGTTTACGCATTAATACGTGAGCGAGTGTGCGCGCGCTCTCCGCTTAATTGTACCCAACATAATGATAACATACACACCGCACACACGCACACGCGCATACTAATACCAGTTAATAGATGTGCATTAAACCTACCCACACGTATATATGCAGGCGCATCTTATGATACACACATCTTACAGCACACGCATGCCTTGCTGTGTCGCTGCACAGCTTTGCCTCGTGCATTCACACACGCGCCCACAGCGATCTTTGTTATCCGACTTAAACACATGACATTGTGTGTATGTATGTATATACTGCACGGTACATACGTACGTCTTGGGCATACGCGTGCGCACATCCCACGCGTACACAATCTACATACCTCACACAACACACACACACCCATGCATACCTTTGACTACTCTTCCACCACAAGAGAAAACAGCGAACAGGAGCTATGAAAATCAGCTACCCTCTCAACCACTCCTCCTCGTCGTCCTCCAGCCTGGGCTTCACCCTGGGATACATTGACACAGCAGCAGCAGCAGCAGCCACTCAAAGCACCGACATCTCCCATCACCACCACCACCACCATCAGCCCGGGCCGTCGCTGCTCTACCAGACCGCGACCTCCTCGGCGCTGGGCGCCCTCATCGCCTGCTCCATCGCGGGCAACGCCTTCGTGCTCGCCGCCATCTACCTGGAGCGCTCCCTGCAGACCGTGGCCAACTACCTGATTGGCTCCCTGGCCGTCACGGACCTGCTGGTGTCCGTGCTGGTGCTTCCCGTGGCCGCGCTCTACCAGGTGCTGGGCCGCTGGACCTTGGGCCAGGCCGTGTGCGACGCCTTCATCGCGCTCGACGTTCTGTGCTGCACCTCCTCCATCCTGCATCTGTGCGCCATAGCGCTCGACCGCTACTGGGCCATCACGGACCCCGTGGACTACGTGAACAAGAGGACGCCCCGCCGAGCGGCGCTCATGATCGCCGTCACCTGGGCCGTGGGATTCTCCATCTCCATCCCGCCCGTGCTGGGATGGAGGCAGGCGGAGGACAGGGCCGACCGGGACGCCTGCAACATCAGCCAGCACCTGGGCTACACGATCTACTCCACCTTCGGCGCCTTCTACATCCCGCTGGTGCTCATGCTGGTGCTGTACGGGAAGATATTCGGCGCGGCCAGGTTCAGGATTCGCAGCACCATCAAGAGGTCACAGAAGAGACCTGCGGAGCCCACGGACGTGGTGGTGGTGGTGGTGTCCACCACGCCGGTGGAGTCCCCCCAACAACTGGACGGCGTCAACGGCGGTGGACGGCCCGAGGAGTTGCCGGGGAAGGCAAAGCCCAGGTCGAATCCGGATCAGACGGTTCAGCAGCAGCAGCAACAGCAGCATCTGCAGAAGCAGAGAAGCCTCAAAGATTCCATCAAGAAGTCCGTGACGGGCAAAGCGAGACACCAGAGCATCGCGTCCGACGGCGGATCAGAGAAACGTGGCAAGGTTGAGCAGTCTTTGTGCGTTCACGTTCCATCGTGCTCATGCATTTCACGCGCGTGTGCCGAGTGGCTGTGGAGTGGTTATCGCACTTCTGCTGAAAAAGCCGCCCACCCGAGTTCGATTGCCGCATCACGATCAACCTCGGTCGAGAATAATTGAGCGGTCTCCCCGACGTTAACTACTCAGCCTTAAATACAAACCTCGTACAGTGTTCAAGCCTACTGGGGATACAAAGGAGGCCGTGTATAACAATTGGCCACAACCACCCCTGTGGCGGCCTTCAAGGATGTTCGCTAACAGCTGAGTCGACCTAGGGGAGGCCCAACCCCGGTGCATCTATCACTTTCCATTGATATTACCCGCGGCTGGGAATTTAACTCAGGTAGCTGGGTTTGTAACGCACTGCGCTAACTACTGCACCACCGCTTCCCTTTGTCTTTGTTACACACAAAGACACGGAGGATCGTTGTCTTTGCGTTCATACGTGTGTGTTTGTGTCTACGTGTTCATATATAGGTCGATTAAGCCTCGAATGAGTTCCTGGTGCGCTGTGCAAACATCGCCACTCGGGAGACAAAGGCGGCCGGGCGTGGTGCTGGCCACCCACCCACCCCCTCGTGTCCTATGCCGACCTTCATAGGGTGCTCGCTAACAGCACTTTCCCCCGCAGTATGTTAAAGGCTATGCGGGACATCTGTGACCGTGTGCTCGTGTACACACGTGCGCTCATACAGGTGTGTGTTTGCTAATGACTGGGTGTCCAGTTACTCTGGGGAAACATCCTCATGAATGCGTGCACGATCTCATCTGATATCGGAAAGCAAAGCGTGCTTGAGCCTGTTGCTTTTTAGATGGTGGGAGACTGAAATGGGGAATACTTCGGCTTTGAGTAGGCTACGGCTGCGAGATGGCCAAGGATACACTAATCCAACCAGTGGATTATTTAATCCATCTGTGCGGAGCTTCGAGCGTTACCCACCCCGTGCATTGCGCGATGGGTTCTCCGTATTTCTTCTCACGCGAAACCAAAAACACTCATTCGGAGAATTGGCCAAACATCTCCAATGCAGCAGGACGCTCTTTAAAATACGGTCCGGATACTCCTGGGACATTCCTGAGTAAAGAGCATTTATTACACAGGCAAGAATAATGATTTATAATCATGCAATGCGCCCTAAACGCATTACAATGTACGTATGGTTATTTACTGCTTGTTATGATGAACGACATGCTAATTCATGGAATATCTGTGCTTGTGTTGAGCGAGACTTGTTTTGTCTGATAATTATGGTTTTGGTAACCATCCATACACTATCCTTATTTTCCCAGGAAAGCCTCACTGTGTCTCAAGATTATTATAGTTTTTTTTTTTTATCAGGAGCATCCTGCCCTGGGATATCTGGCCAATCCAATGTACCCTTCGAGTGTTTTCCAGTTAATCTCCAACGTATTTGTCTCACGTTTTCATATATTTTTGTTACATCAACAAACAAAAAGGGTGCCTATCTATAAGCATATCAAATTGATGATCCAGCACTCCAAAGTTCGCTCCTGTCATTCGCTCATTGGCGACCAGTCGCCTCCTTATCGCTCTTCTATTGCGACTAGCACGGTTACCATTCGCATGAACGTCACTTGTCGATTCCCTCACCGATGTTGAGGACTCGTTCAAGCAAACACTGACAGCCTCGTCTCATTTACACTGTGTTCACACTCACCACACTGCAGGTCACAACAACACACTCACCTACTCACTCACCACACTGCAGGTCACAACAACACACTCACCCACTCACTCACCCACTCACCACACTGCAGGTCACAACAACACACTCACCTACTCACTCACCACACTGCAGGTCACAACAACACACTCACCTACTCACCTACTCACTCACCACACTGCAGGTCACAACAACACACTCACCCACTCACTCACCACACTGCAGGTCACAACAACACACTCACCTACTCACTCACTCACCACACTGCAGGTCACAACAACACACTCACCCACTCACTTACCACACTGCAGGTCACAACAACACACTCACCCACTCACTCACCCACTCACCACACTGCAGGTCACAACAACACACTCACCCACTCACTCACCCACTCACCACACTCGAGATCACAACAACACACTCACTCACCCACTCACCACACTGCAGGTCACAACAACACACTCACCCACCCACTCACCACACTGCAGGTCACAACAACACACTCACCCACTCACTCACCACACTGCAGGTAACAACAACACACTCACCCACTAACTCACCCACTCACCACACTGCAGGTCACAACTACACACTCACCCACTCACCCACCCACTCACCACACTCGAGGTCACAACAACACACTCACTCACCCACTCACTCACCACACTGCAGGTCACAACAACACACTCACACACTCACCATACTGCAGGTCACAACAACACACTCACCCACTCACTCACTCACCACATTGGAGGTCACAACGACACACTCACCCACTCACTCACTCACCACACTGCAGGTCACAACAACACACTCACCCACTCACCACACTGCAGGTCACAACAACAAACTCACCTACTCACTCACCACATTGGAGGTCACAACAACACACTCATCCACCCACTCAGTCACCACACTGCAGGTCACAACAACACACTCAACCACCCACTCACTCACCACACTACAGGTCACAACAACAAACTCACCCACTCACTCACTCACCACATTGGAGATCACAACAACACACTCATCCACCCACTCACTCACCACACTGCAGGTCACAAAAACACACTCACCCACTCACCACACTGCAGGTCACAACAACACACTCACCCACTCACTCACCACACTGCAGGTCACAACAACACACTCACCCACTAACTCACCCACTCATCACACTGCAGGTCACAATAACACACACACTCACCCACTCACTTACCACACTGCAGGTCACAACAACACACTCACCCACCCACTCACCACACTGCAGGTCACACCACTTAAATCTCTCTCGGCGTTTATTTCCCCCACGCACGCGCTCAATTTTGCAATCCCGTCCTGTTATCCCTTTTCTCAAGGGTATTTAAACGCTCGCTGTTTGTTTCTGGCCGCTTGGCGTCTGTGATCGACATTCGTTTTTGTTTTTAAAACGAGTAGGCGACCCGTGGCTCTGCGATGTAAAATAATAGACAGCTGTCATGCCCATCGTCTTCTCAATGTCCTCTTGTCCTCGAAGCACGAACAGTAATCTGATCTTTTTTAGGTGATAAAAAAAAAACATGTCAAGCCACGTATATTGATGTTTTCGATATTCTCCAGGATTCTCATGAATATTTTGGTCGAAAGAATAGAATTCGTGGAAGCAAAGATTTCAAAAGTTAGAGCGATTTTAAATGAACCGCGTCAGCCTTCTGTACGAGTTGCTCAAGCCTCTTGCGTGTCGCTACCCGTTACTCGTTTCTCCGAACGTCCTCTCCTCCTTACACCGTTCCACTGCAATTAAAAATGCTTGTTCGTTACACAGAGAATCCCGTGTAGCCAGCTACCCCGCTAGCTTCTGGTGGCGACGGCCCTACTGAGCAGCCACTCGCAACTGAGTTGATGTTGGGCTGATGGAGAGGATAGCACCAGCAAGCCAGATCGCTGATACACATAAGATGGAATTTATTGAGACGTAGATCCTATTTATTGAGATGTAGATTGCATTTTTTAAGTCATAAAATTGTATTTATTGAGACATAGATTGTATTTATTGAGACGTATATCGTATTTATTGAGACGTAGATTGTATTCATTGAGACATAGATTGCATTTATTGAGACAGTTTATATTTATTGAGACATAGATTGTATTCATTTAATAGCAGCATCATATACTGTATCTCTAAAGCCGAGAAAGCTTGAGCCTGGACAGTGCATGGATGGTTGACCACCACGTAAATCAACCGGGGTGCTATCGGCTGCTTCACTGCTACATTGTCAGCAGAGGGCATTGCACCAACATTCATTGTTGTCCTGTTCTATGCTCCCCCGCCATCACCAATGTCGCACTGACCCAGCATGATGACGAGGTAGCGTGGGGTCGAATCATTACCCCGCGTTACTGCATGGGGGAGGCCCCCATCCAGCAGCGGATTGACAAGAAGCCTGTGGGTGCGCACGCGCGCACGTGAGCACGTGTGTGCGCGCGCACGTGCGCACGTGTGTGCGCGCGCACGTGCTCTCGTGTGTGCGCGCGCACGTGCTCTCGTGTGTGCGCGCGCACGTGCTCTCGTGTGTGCGCGCGCACGTGCTCACGTGTGTGCGCGCGCACGTGATCTCGTCGTACTACGCACGTGAAGCGAGAGAGGGCAACGTGCGTTCGTCCGTCGAACCTCTTTCGCACCGTACGTAGCCAACCGTGCTAATCGGAGGTGCGGGACACGCTGTATGACGGAGGTTTTATCCGCCCCTCGTGATGCGGCTGTGATTGCTCAGCATCAATGCTGCCCACGCGTGCCGCGGGTAGCGGCTAGGCCCTGCTGGTGCCATGCACGGAGTTGTGTTGAATTGTCACGAGATTTGTCTCGATCGGTAGGTAGCAGGCCGTTTGTAGGGAGACCGTCGTTGCCTTATATTTCCACAACGACCCCCACACCATCATTATGTTGTGTTCCGTATTCTAGGAGTTTCGCATCGATCCAGGGACCCATGTCTACGAGAGGTCTCTGCCGAAAACGCATTCGGCAGTTTCTCAAGCAAGCATGACGCTGCTGATGAGACCTTGAATGTCGAAACCGGTCCGGAGATTTGCTTGTGTTAGAATAAAGTTTTGCTGCAATTATGCACGACTGATAGGATGTTTAACAACAGCAACTTAAATATGATTTTTTTATGTTCATAAACAATTCGTGTGGAGCCAGTGGTGAAAATTCCACATAGTCTACTTATACAATATTATCATCAGCAGTAGCGGCAGCATCATTATAATCAGCAGCAGCATTCGAGCCATCATCAC